CGCCGCCGCCGCTGTCACCGCCGCCCTGCCGGGGCCATGTTCGCCCGCGGCTTGCCCTACTTGGTGGCGCTCTTGGTGGCCTCGGTCGAGAGCCATCTGGGGGCTCTGGGGCCCAAGAACGTCTCGCAGAATGATGCCGAGTTTGAGCACACCTACTCCCACGAGGTCAACAGCGAGCTGGTCAACATCTACACCTTCAACCATACCGTGACCCGCAACCGGGTAGGCGGTGGGGAGCGGGGCCGGGGCCGGGGGGTGCCGAGGGGCGAGCGGACCGGGCCCGGCCCGAGGCCCGCCGAGCCAGCCGCCGGCCTGCGCTTCCCGACCCCAGGACCCTAACGGGCGCCTCTGGACCAGGTCTTACTTTCCCATCCTTGCTGCTCTGAGGCTCCAGCTGGGCAAGGTTTTGAAGTGGTCTGGTCCCCATCTCCTCTTCCTCCAAGCTGTGATGGGAGCAGGCCCCGGGCCGCTCCCTACCTCCTGGCCCTCAAGACCTGGAGCTCAGTAGGGTCTGGGTGACAGGGGAAGCAGGTTTGCCTCTGAGCCTGCCCAGACAACACCAGAAGACACGCAGGCCCAGGACTGAAAGGCTCTGTCCAGGCAAGTTTACACTTCAGACTCCCCAGGGAGGTGAATGGAGGGACTGCTCAGATCTCTCCTGATTTCAGAAAGCCAGCTGGCCTTGGAAGTTGAGGTGGCAGAGATAAGGCCAACCGCATTATTGGGTGGCAAGCAAAGGGGAGTTTGTCACCCATGAAGATCCAAAGTCATCCTGACTTCTCACTGATTTCTTTCCAGTAGTGAAAGCCCAGCTTGGTCTGAGAAGTTCCCAGCAGTCAGAACAGATGAAAGAATCCTTGGCCACCTAGTTGTGTGGTCTCCCACCTAGCTCTCTCTCCATCTCTTCTCCAGGACCAGAGCTGGGTTTACTGGGAGGCAGTGGAGTTGAGAGCATTGAATCTGGGGTTTTCTTCAGGATGGAAAGGGGTTTGGTTTCTGGCAGGGTAGGATCTGCCTTCTCTGAAGTTGGATCCCTTGCTTAGAGTCTTACCTTCCTCTTTTTTTTTTTTTTTGGTCCTTTGGGGGACCTGAACTCTGGGCCTGGGCGCTTCCCCTCAGCTCTTCAGCTCAAGGCTAGCACTTTACCACTTGAGCCATACACCACTTCCGGCTTTTTCTGCTTATGTGGTGCTGAGGAATGGAGCCCAGGGCCTCATGCATGCAAGGCATGCACTCTTACCACTGAGCCACCTTCCCAGCCCTTACCTTCCTTTTTGTCTACTTTCTGGAGTGTCGGTTCAATCCAAGCTGCAATGTTTAAACCTTAAGGAAATGCTAACTTAAGGCTTGGTTGGGTTGCAGCAGCCCAATAACAAGCAATCCTAGGATTTTTTTTCTTTCAGCTCTCACTATTCTGTAGAAGTTCCTCCATAGCTAAGGGTGAAAGTGTTACTTTGTAGACAAGGAAATTGAGGGTCACAGATGTGAAATGATTTCCTCACAGCCTGTTCTTTGGTCAAAGCTAAGGATTCAGCCAGGTGCCGGTGGCCCCCTTGCCTGTAAGTACTAGTGACTGGTGCCTATAATCCTAGCTGCTCAGGAGACAGAGTTTTGAGGATCATGGTTCAAAGCCCACCCAGGCTTTGAGACTTTGTGTGTGTGTGTGTGTGTGTGTGTGTGTGTGTGTGTGTGTGTACACGTGTGCGCACGCGTGCCCACATTGCTCCTAGGACCTGGGCTCTGTGCTTGAGCTTCTTTTGCTCAAGGCCAGTGTTCTACCACTTGAGCCACAGTTTCATTTCTGGCTTTTTTGGGGATAGTTTATTGGAGATAAGAGTCTCATAGACTTTCCTGCCCAAGCTGGCTTTGAACTGTGATCCTCAGATCTCAACCTCCTGAATAGCTAGAAGTACAGGTGTGAGCTACTAGTGCCCCACCTGTGAGATTCTTTAATCAACTACCAAAAAGTTGGAAATGGAGCTGTGGCTCAAAGTGGTAAAACACTAGCCTTGAGCACAAAAGTTCAAGGACAGCATCCAGGCCCTGAGTTTAATTAGCACAAAAAACAAAAATAAAGAACAGCTAAAGATACAATTTGGTTTTCAACACTTCCCCTTATCAGTCTTCCCCATCTTTCATGGGTTCTGGCTTCCTGGTTATTGAACCAGAGCTTCTTGCTGGTTTCCTGGGTCACAAGGAAGAAGACTGACAATTTCTCATTATCCTGGGTCTGTGTGTCTCTGTGCTTATGTGCATGTGTGTGCAGACAGATCTGTGCAACTCATGCACGTGGATAGAGATGAGGTATCCTGGGGACTTGTGAGGTCTTTCTGTGGGTCGTGTGTGTATACTAGGCCTTGCCTGGGTCCTGCGGGGCACACATGCAGCTGCCTCTAGGAGGCAGTCCCATGTGGAGACTAGGCCACCTGTTCTGGCAGAAGGAGCGTAGATGGCTTCCTTGCCTGGCAAGGATGGATGAGGGCGGGCAGGGCTCCGAATCTGGAGCCACGTGTTTGGGGACAGGCTGGGCAGGGTTTGAGGGCACTTCCTTGTCACCTGCAGACCGAGGGTGTGCGTGTGTCTGTGAATGTCCTGAACAAGCAGAAAGGGGCGCCTTTGCTGTTCGTGGTTCGCCAGAAGGAGGCTGTGGTGTCCTTCCAGGTGCCCCTAATCCTGCGAGGGCTGTGAGTAGGACCTGGGGATCTGGGAGGGGTTGGCCTAGCTCTGGCCTTGTTCACAACCGGACCCAGGATCCCTCTCTGTTTTCCTATCCACTCCCTGAACCCAGAAACTGCTGTGGCAAGAGGGCCACGGACAAGCCTGGAGCTTGTCAGCCTAGGGCTTGGGAAGTCTGGGAACCTGCAAGAAAGAAGGGGGGGCTTGCTCCTCTGAGTGCCAGGCATCCTGACCATCTGCCTTGGGCCATAGGTATCAGCGGAAATACCTCTACCAAAAGGTGGAACGGACGCTGTGTCAACCTCCCACCAAGAATGAATCCGAGGTCCAGTTCTTCTATGTGGATGTGTCTACTCTGTCACCCGTCAACACCAAGTACCAGCTCCGAGTCAGCCGAATGGACAACTTCGTGCTCAGGTAGAGTAGGTAGAGTGCAGGGTAGAATGAGGAGACCATATGGCCTGGCCTCTGACTTGGGGATTCTTCTCTGCCTTATAGGACTGGGGAGCTGTTTAGCTTCAACACTACTGCAGCCCAGCCCCAGGTAAAATCCTGTCGACCCCCTCCCAGGGAGACATGGGAGACACTGAGCAGGAGTAGTTGAAGGTCTTGCTAGGACTTCTAGCAGTCCCATTCCCCATGGTGGGCCCTTTTAGAAGCAGGAGCTCTGGTGGTGAAAGGTAGGCATCTGGGAACAGTGCAGAGACATGGCTCTGGTGCTGGGCTTGGTTTTTCTAATTCCACCTCTCAGGGGCTATCCTGAGTTAAAGAGGATGTTGCACAGCAAGTGGGACTGCTCATGCTCTGCCTGCTCAACCTCACAGGATTGTGGGAACATCATCCCGAAATGATGCTCTCCTTGCCCTTCTCCACCCCTCAGTACTTCAAGTATGAGTTCCCTGAGGGAGTGGACTCTGTGATTGTCAAGGTGACCTCGAACAAGGCCTTCCCCTGCTCAGTCATCTCCATCCAAGATGTCCTGGTAAGTCCCCTGCCCTTTGACCACTCACCAGTGTGTAGCAGATCAATTGGACAAAGAAATAGGGCGCAGGTTCATCTGCCTCTTCCCTCCTCTCTCTCTAGTGTCCTGTCTATGACCTGGACAACAATGTAGCCTTCATTGGCATGTACCAGACCATGACCAAGAAGGCAGCCATCACTGTACAGGTAGGAAGTGCACAAGGCCTTCTGGGAGCTGTGGGGACTGATAAACTGGGTACTTCTCCAAGCCCTGCTCCTTTTCCTCTGCCCCATCCTACCATTTACGAGACTGAGTCTCTGTACTTCAGCCCCTGTGATTTGGATCCCCTCAGGTATTTGAGAATGGAGCCATGATCCTAATCCCTTTGGGGACAGGAAAGAGCAGATTTCCTTTCTTGCTGTTGTAGTGAGGAGAGGAGAGACTGCTAGGGTCCTGTTCATTGAGGGTGGGGGGAGTGTTACTCTTGGTGAAGGCCAAGGGGAAAAAGGCTAGGGAGGGGGGAAGCCATGCAGCTGGTGGGCAATGTGACACTTCCACTTCTTTTCCTAGCCAATGTCCAACCTGAAACACGATGGCTTATCTGATGACAGAGGGCATATGTGTGTCCACAAATGTCCTGTTCATCTGTCCATCCTTCCTTCCTTCCTTTTTCTTTCTTTTCTTTTTTTTTTGGTCTTGGGGCTTGAACTCAGGGCCTGGGCTCTGTCTCTGATCTTTTGTGCTCAAGACCATTTTGAGCCATACTTCTACATTTGGGAGTATCCTGCCCAGGCTGGCTTTGAACTGTGATCCTCAGATCTCAGCCTCCTGAGTAGCTAGGATTACAGACATGAGCCACCAGCACCCCCCCCTTTTCTTTCAGCATTAGGGCTTGAATTCAGGGTCTCATGCTCTTGCTTGCCAATTTTTGCTCAAGTCTTTCACTCTACCATTTGAACCACAGTTCTACTTCTGGCTTTTTGCTTATTATTTGAAAGTCTCACAGACTTTTTTTTTAACCTGGCCTGGCTTTGAACTATGCATCCTCAGATCTCAGCCTGCTGAGTAGCTAGGATTACAGGCGTAAGCCACTGTGCCTTGTTATCGTGCATTTTTTTTTTCATCTGGCTAAGGTATAAGTCCAGTATTTGGGCACTACTTGGTCCCAGTGTGATGCAGGACAGACCACAGGCAAAGACTGAAGAGCTAAGTTTCCACTCATTCTCACTCATCAGCCCCAGGGCATCACTGAACCCCACTTTCCTAGCTCTATGACAGAAGTAATCAGACAGGTCCCATTAGACTCACTCAGTTGTCAAGCTTAGCACAAAACCAGCAATCAGATAATCCTGGCTCTCACACTTACTGACAACGTGACTTTACGCTCACTTCCCTGAATCTGTCCAACAAGGATAATGATAATACTTTCCCAAGGATCCTTTGTGAGGCCAGAGATAGAGCTGGGTAGTCGAGCCGTTGCCTGGCAAGTGCATAGCCATGTGTTCCACTCCCACTACCACAGACAAAAGGGGGAGAGATATTTGTGAGAATTAAATAAAATAATGTATATCAAGAGCTTAACAGGATGTCTGATCCAAAGTGAGTATTCAGAACGGGTGAGGGCAAGGGTGCGGATGGTTCTCCCTCTCAGCCTCCTCATTATCTTACAGCGCAAAGATTTCCCCAGCAACAGCTTTTATGTGGTGGTCGTGGTGAAGACTGAAGACCAGGCCTGTGGAGGTTCCTTGCCCTTCTACCCCTTTATGGAAGGTACATTTTGTGCCCTAGGCCTGGCTAGGGACAGGCAGGGTCTAGTAGCTTCCCAGGAGGTAGAAAGCCTGCTTGTCTTTTGGTAGATGTGATGGGACCTGGGGTTTGGGGCCCCAGACCCTCCAAAGCCTGATCCCACCAACTTTAAACACTCTGCAAGCAATAGTTCTTGACCACATTCTCTTGACATTTTACTTCCAGATGAACCGGTTGATCAAGGGCATCGCCAGAAAACCCTGTCAGTGCTGGTCTCCGAAGCGGTCACGTGTGAGTGTGGGTGGCTGAGTGGGACAGATGATAGATGAGCCTCCCAGGCTCTTCCTGTCACATCCAGGAAGGAGGCTGTTCTCTGAAAGGCAAGGGTGGTGAGGCGTTTGCCCAAGCAGGCTGATGAGTGGAGAGGGGTGTTCTAAGTGGGGAGGTGGGCTCTAAGGTGAGAATCGCTGAGAGGGTGGGTCCTAGTGTAATGCAGGACAGAATCCATGAGCAAAGACTGAAGAGCTAAGCAAACCACCCATGGGCTCACACCTGTAATCCTAGCTACTAAAGAGGCTGAGATCTGAGGATTACAGTTCGAAGCCAGCCAGGGCAGGAAAGTCTGTGAGACACTTATCTCCCATTAACTACTAGACAAACTAGAAGTGGAGCTATGACTCAAGGGGTAGAGCTCTAGTGTTGAGCACAAAAGCTCAGGGATAGCGGCTAAGCACTAAGTTCAAGCCTCAGGATTGGCACAAAATAAGCAAACAGGGCCTCAGCTGGTGGGGCATGACTTAAGCTTAGAGCACTTGCCTAGTAACCTTAAGGTCCTGAGTTCAAACCCAAGAACTGCCAAAAGAATTTTTTTTGTGGGGGGAAGGGGAGGAGGCGGTCGTGGGGCTTGAACTCTGGGCCTGGGCGCTGTCCCACAACTCTTCAGCTCAAGGCGAGTGCTGTACCGCTTGAGCCACAGCACCACTTCCGGTCTTCTGAGTGGTTTATGGGAGATAAGCGTCTCACGGATTTTCCTGCCTGAGCTGGCTTTGAACCCCAATCCTCAGAGCTCAACCCCCTTAGTAGCTAGGATTACAGGCGTGAGCCACCGGTGCCCAGCCCAAAAGAATTTTTAAAATTTTAAAAAAAGAACCTTAGTTATGCTCAATAATATTTACTGAGTGATTAAATAAGGCCTTCTATAAACTGAAAAGAATTATGGTAGGAAAGGAAAGAAGCTGAGTCTTTCTGTCTGGCTTATTTATTCAGCAAATATTTATTGAGCCCCTCCTGCAGGCCAGGTGCTGTGCCAGGCTGCCGTTCTCAAGAGAGCTACTGTGTAGAGGAACTGAGGCCGAGGCTCTGCTGGGTAACTAGAGCTGTAGTGTCACTGCAGAAATCAGGACAGGGAAGCCCTCCTTGAGGGCACAGTCTCTGAGCGGTGGTTAAGTCCAGATGGAGTTTTCAAGAAGACAGAAAACCTCTAGCACAGGAAGTGACGTGAGCAAAGTCAGAATCAGGACTGAGTTTGGTGTGTTGCGGGACTGCCAGTTGTTCATATAAGCTGGATATAACATTTAGAGAAGTGGGGAGAGCTTGGGTTGGACTCACAAAGGCCCTTGGATATCATGGTGGGCAGTGTTGGAAGGTTTGCCATACTCACCTCTCTGTTGACCATGTTTCCTTCCCTGCAGCAGAGGCCTATGTCAGTGGGATGCTCTTTTGCCTGGGCATATTTCTTTCTTTCTACCTGCTGACTGTCCTCCTGGCCTGTTGGGAGAATTGGAGGTAAAGTGGAACTGCTGGGCGCCCCTGCTCTGGAGTGGACTGGATGGGAGGTATGGGGGACATAGCCCTGAGGGATCTGTGCTGGCCCAGAGTTATCTTGGAACTGTCCCTGGGACAAAACAAGACAGGTTATCCTGTTGGGTCTGTGGTCCATCACTGGCTACTCCCCTGGAAATGGGCTCTTCTCCCTCAATCGCTGACCCAAGCAGGAAGATCCTGCATTGTTCCCCAGCCTGGGAGCGACCATGGGACCAAGGGTGGAAGAGAGAATGACAGGGATCAGAGTAGGTGGAGAGGGTAGAAAGAAGGACAGACCAGCCCAGAAGGTTCTCATGTGGGTATCCTCTGGATTCTGTCCCTGTAGGCAGAGGAAGAAGACCCTGCTGATGGCCATTGACCGAGCCTCTCCAGAAAGTGGTACCTCACCAGAGTCTCTG